GGAGTGATCTGTGATAACAGGAACATACCTAAACATAATAAATGCTATATACAGCAAACCAACAGCCAGCATAAAACTAAATAGACAGAAACTCAATGCGATTCCACTAAAATCAGGAAAAATACTAGGCTGTCCACTCTCTCCAATATTGTACTTGATGTTCTAGCTAGAGTCATACTACAACAAAAGGAAATCAAGAGGATACAATTTGGAAAGGAAGAGGTCAAACTTTCACTATTTGCAGATGATATGATAGTTTACATAAATGACCCAAAGAACTCTTCCAGGGAATTCATACAAATGTTTAACAATGTTGCAGGCTGCAAGATAAACTCAAGAAAATGAGTAGCCATAGTATATACAGATGATAAAAAGGGCTGAGAAAGAAATCAGAGAAATATCACCCTTTACAGTTGCCACAAACAACATAAAATACATTGGGGTAATGCTAACCAAACAAATGAAAGACCTATATCACAAGAACTTTGAAGAAAGAAATTAAAGAAGCCCTCAGAAAATGGAAATATCTCCCATGCCATTGGATAGGTAGGATCATTGTAGTAAAAATGGCAATCCTGCCAAAAGCAATCTACAGATTCAATGCAATCCACATTAAAACACCAGCACAATCCTTCACAGACCTTGAAAGAACAATTATCAATTTTGTATGGAAAAAAGACCCAGGATAGCCAAAACAAACTTACTCAACAAAGCAACATCTGGAGGCATCACTATCCCCAATCTCAATCTCTACTGTAGAGCTGTAGTCCTGAAAACAGTTTGGTATTGTCACAAAAATAGACAGGTTGAACAATAGAATCATATTAAACCCCGTGATATTAACCCATACATGTATGAACATCTGATCTTTGACAAAGAAGCTAAAAATATACAATGGAAAAAAGAAAGCATCTTTAACAAATTGTGCTGGCATAACTGGATGTCTATCGCCATGAACAAAACTTAAGTCAAAATCGATCAAAGATCTCAACACAAATCCTGCTACACTGAACATCTTAGAAGAGAAAGTGGGTGGTACCCCTGAATGAATTGGTACAGGAGACAGCTTCCTGAACATAACACCAATAGCACAGACAGTGAGGTCAACAATTAATAAATGGGACCTCCTGAAACTGAGAAGCTTCTGTAAGGCAAAGGACACAGTCAGCAAGACAAAAAGGCAGCCCACAGAATGGGAAAAGATATTCACTAACCCCACATCTGACAGAGGGCTGATATCCAAAATTTACAAAGAACTCAAGAAGCAAGTCTCCAAAATTCCAAAGGATCCAATTAAAAAGTGAGAAAGCCAGTAAAAGAGAGGGAGGACTGGTGATCAAAGGGATTAAGACTGGGCTGGTTTAACCCCCAGAAACAGCTGACTAGACAAAGGTTAACTCTTGAAACCCAGGCATCAGCCTGGGAATCCAGCATGGGACTGATCAATACTCCCTGAATTTGGGTGTCAGTGAGGAGGCCTAGGGAATCTATTGAGCCTTGGGCAGCAGATCAGTACTCATCCCAAGTATACACACGGGCTTTGGACTCCCATAGAACAATGTGAGTTGCACTCTCACCCTGAACTCTTGGGGAAGGGTCTAGGCCCTGCCCTGGATGAAATGACAGACTATGGACACCCCCATGGAGTGCCTCACCCTCCCTGGGGGAATGAGGGGATAACGGGGGGGGGGTTGGGGGGAGGGCACGGGAGGAGGGGAGGGAATGGGAGAGGGACCTGGAACTGACTTGTGAAGCAACCTCGTTTCTTATCTAAATTTAAACTGGGAAAAAAAGTGAGCTACAGAACTAAATAGAGAATTTTAAATAGAGGAGTCTAAAATGGCTGAGAGGCACTTGAGAAAGGGCTCAAAATCCTTAGCCATCAGGGAAATGCAAATCAAAACAACTCTGAGTTACCATCTTATTCCTGTCAGAATGGCTAATATCAAAAACACCAATGGCAATTTATACTGGAGAGGTTGTGGTGAAAGGGGAACACGCCTCCATTGCTGGTGGAAGTGCCAACTTGTACAGCCACTTTGGAAATCACTATGGAGAGTCCTCAGGAAAATGTGAATAGACCTACCACAAGACCCAGCAACTCCACTCTTAGGCATATATCCAAATGATTAACATTCATACAACAAGGACATCTGTTCCACTAGGTTCATAGTAGCATTATTTGTAATAACCAGAACTTAGAAGCAACCTAGATGCCCCTAAACTGAAAAGTGGACAGAGAAAATGTGGTACATTTACACAATGGAATGCTATTCAGCAGAAAAAAAAACAATGGAATCCTGAAATTTACAGGCAAATGGATTGCACTAGAAGCAACCATCCTGAGTGAGGAAACCCAGTCACAGAATGAGAAACATGGCATGTACTCTCTCATATATGGATTTCAGACATAGATATGGGGAGTACCAGCCTACAATCCCATGACCAGAGAGTCTGTGAAACAGAACCTTCATTCAATGGCTGATAGAAGCAGAGGCAGACTCCCACAGCTAAACACTGAGCTGAACTCAAGAAATCCAGTGATGGAGAGGGACGATTGATGAGCTAAGGGGTTAAGGCTGTGTGGGTTTAACCCCCAGAAACAGCTGCCTTCACAAGGGATAGCTCTTGAATCTCAGACTGATGGCTGGGATTTTACCATGGGACTGATCATGAACCCCTGAATGTGGGTGTCATGTGAGGAGGCCTAGGTAATCTATTGGGCCTTGGGTAGTAGATGCCAAATATACAAATAGACTTTGAGCGCCTATCCAACAATGAGAGTTGCACTCTCACCCTGGATCCCAGGGGAGGGTCTAGGCCCTGCTCTGGATGAAATGACAGACTATGGACACACACATGGAGGGGCCTACCCTCCCTGGGGAAATGAGGGGATATTGGAGGGGTTGTTGGGAGGGCGTGGAAGGAGGGGAGGGAAAGGAAGTTGTACTTGGAATTGATATGTGAAGAAACCCTGTTTCTAATTTAAATTTAAAAATAAAACTTAAAAAAAATCATTCCTATGGGAGTCAATAGGTAATGGTGGTAAATCTCTAGGAGGCAAAGGATACTGCCTTGTGCTATCTATAAAGTTTAGGCAAATATAATACCCAGTTTTTAAAAAGTTGACATTTTATACATCAGATTACAAAAAAAGATAAAAAGTCCTGTCACCACTTGTATCTAAAGCAATAACAAAATATACAAAATGTGGTAAGAAATAAGCAATGGAAGAAATAAACTAAATTATATGCTAATAGAGCTGCAAACAAATTTATAAAAAGGAATATCAACATAAATATTTAAGAGTAATTACAATAAAACCTCTACATACACCACGGAGAGCAGGATAGCACTTGTAGAATAAAGGCCATACATGTTATTAGAGGTATTATAACCTATATGACGATGTCATAGAGACAAATCTATATTCCATTTCATGCAACGGGATTAAAGGTCATATGCATATGGTTCAATATAGTTTGATAATTGTAAGCAGGACAGTGGACATGTCTATGCTTACAATATGAAACACGTAAAAATATTTTAATATATGACTATTTTGCCTACGTGTTTGTAAGAACATTATGTGTATAATTGGTGCACTCCCAGGGTAGAAGAGGGTACTGGATCCCCAGGAACTGAAATCAAATACAGCTGTGGGGCACCATGTTGGTGCTGAGAATTAAACCCAGATCCTCTTCAAGAACAACAAATGATTTTATCCACTGGGCATTCTCTCCAGCTCCATGAACGACTTTTAAATATTTTCGTCCATTGGCACACAAACTCTATCTAATGTAACAAATATTCCTGGGGGTGTGATTGGTGGTTCTATGGTTGATTAACTGAGTAAAGCATTTATGTAGAAAATCAGACAGCATAACTAAGAAAACATGAAGCCTAGAAAAGTAGAATTGTGTCTCCTGATTTGATTGTTCTCTTTTGTGTAAAACTCTAGCAATTACATCTGTATGTATTGTAATATACAGAAAGGTGGGTAGATGACTGTGACATCATAAAAAGATAAAAAGATCTTACACACAATTTTGACAGCAAAACAAAATAAAGTAAAAAAGAATTAGTATAAGTATAGAACACTGTTCTTTTGTTGTTGTTCTTTTTATAGTTTTGTTTTTTTGAGACAGGGTTTCTCTGTGTAGCCTTGGCTATCCTGGAACTCACAGTATCTTTCTGTCTCTGTCTCCCAAGTGCTGGGATTAAAGGCATGTGCCACCACCTCCTGGCTTTGTGTTGTTTCAAATCTATGCTCTGGAATATTAGTTCTTCATTAATATCACTAATGGGAGTATGGTTATGATAACCCTTATGCCCTATATGATGATGTCATATAGCCAAATCCATATTCCATTCATGCAATGGGATTAAAAGTCATATGCATATAGTTCAATATATTTTGATAATTGTAAGCAGGAAAGTGGACATAGGAACCATTAGAATTATATGCAAAATGCTACAGAGAACTGAGTACATCAACATCCACTGCTGCAATTTGAAGACACAGCAGAGGATCATGGTTATACATGCTCCCCTTTCTCTAACACATTCTCTTGCTTTTGTGAGAAATCCAGAAATGTGGTCTTACTGCAAGCTTCTCTCAGTCATATTTCTCTTCACTTTACTGGCACTTAGAAACAATTTTTCTATTTTAAATAATGTGTAATGGAATGTCCACAGTAATTTCCAATGTTCTATATGGGTCCAAGCTGAGGTCACAGCACCGACTCCTTGCAGAGAATGGCTGTGTCCTCTGATAAAGCAGAAAATACATTAGTACTCTCTATGGCTGGAGGTAGCAGAAACGAAAGATACACAGGATGAAGAGAGGACTGTTTAGACTTTTCTGCCAGAAAGAAAGTAATCACTACTTATGAGCTCTGCTAAAAATCTTGTGACATCTGAGAAACACTTTAAGTGAGTGACATATGAGGAGGAAGATCTGGGGCAGGGAACTTCTCACTTCTGCTTCCATTGGGGGTTTATGTTATGACTTGTGTCACTGTGGGAGGATACTTATCATACTGTACACAGTGGTAAATTGCAGGGTCTTCAGCCTCTAGGTTACTGATGCTGAGAGAATAATCTGTGCCAGACCCACTGCCACTGAACCTGGATGAAACCCCAGCATACAAATTGGATGCATAGTAGATCAGGGGTTTAGGAGGTTTCCCTGGTTTCTGCTGCAACCACATTAAATATTTGCGAATATCCTGACTTGCACTGCAAGTGATGGTGACTCTGTCTCCCAGAGATGCAGAGAGGGAGGATGGAGACTGGGTCATCTGGATATCACATCTGGCACCTAGGAGTGGAGACATGACAAATGCTCATATAGTTAAGCATAAATAATGGACTGTCCAAAAATGCCAAAAAATGCTAATCACAGTAAAATAGTGAACTTCCCATTTTTCCCTTTTTACCTGGAAACCAGAGCAACAGGAGGCCAAGGAGCTGAACAGGGGTCCTCAAGTCCATGCTGAGTCCTGACTACAATGTCAACTACACAGGTTGTTACTGGTACAGGAAGAAGTTCTTAAGGCTGTGAATTGAGTGCATGCAAATTATTGGAAACCAGTTAGGGCTGGACACAGCTGCAAACCTTGCTCATTTCAGAAACTTTGTACAAATACAGGGTTCTCAAATGCCCAAGGTCAGACCACATACATGCCTCCTAAGGCTGCACTTCTTTTTAAAGTTTAAAATTAGACATGCATTTCTCGTATATGTAAGTTCTATTGTGAATAATATATATTGGAGGTTATATAGACAAAATATCTGTCATAAGAATATACAACAGGGAAGGGACTATAACTCACTCAAGTAATTCCAATTGGTTAGAAAGTACCATGTGTTATCCTTGGAAAATGTTAGTAAGTTTGGAGTTATTATTTCTATAAATTAAAGGAATAATTTATCAGGACCACATTAATGTATGAAAAGTAAGACTTTACAGTTTCAACTATTTTAACTATACTAAAAATATAGAAATTACATAGTAGTTACACATAGAACACCTTGATCCCAAAAATGAGTGGCACTGGGAGTCCTGATTCTTATGATTCGGGCATCTGTACTGGCCTGTCCTTGGGGTTCTGACAGAGTATTCTTTCAGCTGCAGCCATTAAGAGCACCACGTGTGCACATTCACTATGTTCTGTTTTAAAAAGGCTCTGCCCACCTCTTCTCCTCTCTTTCTTTCCCTCTCTGTTTATCTCTCTGTTTTTCTCTCTCTCTGCTTCTTTTTCTTCTCTCCTACTGCTCTGAAAGGTCAGTCTTCCCCTCTCCCCTCCTCTTTCCCTTTTTTATGAACACTATCCATAATTTTTAAAATAAAACCTCTGCTTGAACTCAGTCACCTGGCATCTTTCTCTCATATACCGCTTTTCTTACATTACAATACTGACTCCATAGGGAGATGGAGGTACTTTCATGATCACAGACTAATTGGTTGCACAATTTGCTCCATGTGGGATCTTCCATAGTTGCTCTTTTCTAACATTTTCTATCATTTTCCACAATTCCTTAGCATAAAGAATTGACTAGTGAAGACATATTAGAACACTATAACAGAAAATACTGCTACTCAATACATGACTCAACCAAATATGATAAATGATATTTTCACCGTTCACTCTTTAGTACAATCTGGAGATATTATGCTGACTTCATCATCAATCTCACTGTCTGCATGTATGTCTCAGTCTTTAAGTAATCTAAGATGCAGTAATGTTTGTGTATACTTATAACATATAATTGAACACCAAGCACTTCATACCCATGTCTTTGCCTTAGCCATCCAGCCTTATTTATCATCAGGAGGATTAGAATCTGTTTAGTCTTCAGTATTCTTTACTTGGAGCCTTATAATCCCAAGGTAATTTAGAAAAGTAACTGTGAAAGGATAAAAAGTGTTGCAGCCTGAGACTGACCCTGCTGATTTTCCAGCATCTGGACTTGCAAAATGTGTGTGAACAAACATATAGGATTAAAGCATCTGAGGACACATGATGCCCTCCCCAGCAGAAGTACCTCATGGCAGTTTATCGTGGATTAATAGGAATGTGGGCTCCACAGTTTCTTCACTTCCCTCTCTTTCTGCTGATAACTACAAGTTATACCTCTGTGTTCTTTGATCTTTGAGACTTCAAAGATATTTCTGTACTCTCACCTTATAGCCCCAGTGTCTGGAGGAAGCCTCATTCAGTATACATCAGTGGATGAGAGTAGGAGATTGACAGTTCCTTAACTTAGAAAAAAATAAGCAAATAATTATTCTGCAGGGCATCTAGGATATGAATTCTTACCACATTTCAATTAATAATATGTGCAAATATGATGGGAATGCTAGAAACATTCAACTTCCCTTTAGGTTGGATAAAGTCAATAAATGCGTCTGATTGCTAAGAAAATATGTTAATGGCATAGTAATGAGCATAGCCTTCTAAAAACATCTAATAACTTCTCAGTAATCTCTAAGTCATACATACCTGTAGGTCTTGTGATTTGGGTATTTTCATCCTCTGTTGCTTAATAAATAGGACTTCTGATATTTTCAAACTTCGAAAAGGTAAGGTTTTATGGAGATGATACTAGCTATTGTTTGAGGGATAATGACTCTCACTGAACCTTCCCATATTCATCCAAGTTTAGATTCTAGAACTTAAAAAATAAAAGCTCCATGTCCAAATGATTTGACTTGTGTGACTGAGTTATGATTTTGAGATGGTATGAACAACCTGAAGTATATGGGTGAGATCAATATAATTGCAAGTGCTTTTCTTGTAGGGGTAGAAGAAGTTGAACTACACAGAGTGGTGCTTACAAAGGAAAAGTTGATTGAATTTTGGAAGCCAGTGCCCATTGTTCAGGGAATGTGGTGCTTTGATGTGAGAATAAATGTTAGCATATGATTCTATGGCCTAGAGTCTTCAGGACAGTCACCAACAGCTCTTCTTATCCTTTTCTTTATTTCAGGAGACTTTTGAACTCTATAACTTTAAAGAAAGTGTTTTGTGAATCAGTTCTGAAGCTATTTACATTTAGACACAGAAAGTAAATAGAAAACACAGTCTTTGACTCCTCTATATATGTGACTTTTCTTAATACTCCAACATTTCTAGAATTTTTATTAGTTGGTGTCATTGTGAAGAGATTTGGGAAGCCCTAAATATATGACTTTGTGCTCTCTAAACTAATGATTATTTTGTATCCCACAGTAAGCCCACTGTAACACATACTACAGAAAATGAGAATAATGAATCAGTTCAGATATGAGACCAATCTAGAAAACTTTAAGTAGAGCAATAAAAAAGGTGTAAAGAGAAGCCTTTTTCTTGAGAGAAGCCTTCCCGCCAGCCTGGTTCTAGAGCCGCATCAGTCCCAAATAAACACACAGGGGGTATATTAATTATGAAGCTGTTGGCCTTGCTTGTTTCTTACTGGCTAGCTCTGACTTAAGTAATTACCCCATAATTGTTACTCTAAGTATGTCTCTTACCAGAGAAGTTTCTGGGCTTTCTACTCCATGGTGTTACATCTCTACTCTCTGTGTTTTCTCCTTCCCAGAGTCTTCCTGGACTCCTAATCCCACCTATCTTGATTCCCTATTGGCCAGCAATGATTTATTGACAAATGCACAGCACTTCCCCAACATCTTCTCTTTTCTGTTAAACAAAAAGAAAGGTCTTAACTTTAACATAGCCAAATTATATATAAAAGAAGAGTTATAAAGTAAGAACATAGTTAACAATATTTTGTCTATCAACATTTAGCAAGATTTAAAGAATATATCATCTATCTTATTCTTGTGAGTCCAAAGTCCTATATGTAGCTGATCTTTTATCATAACTAAGGAAAACTATAATTATAACTATCTATCTTCAACTCCATCAAAGACCACAGAAGGATAATATATAAACACTAGGATTGACAGATCTATCTTACTGCCTGTACAGTCACCTGAAGTTCCTCTGTAACATTGGGGCATCCATCTTCAGCCCATAGGCCACAATGTGTCTGGAACACTTCGCAGCAAAGCAGGAAATTTCAAACTGTCCATCTGCATTGGCAGTCTGTTAGTTATGTTTCTGTGTCCTGCAGAAAGTCTTGTAGACTCTTCCATGAAGCAGGAACCCTGTAAGACTGAGTTCAGCAGTCACTTTCCTGTGGGTCCTGCATGCCCAGATTATACAACAACAGTCAAGAAGTACAGGCAAGAGCAGTTTCTTGCCCAAATGGCTAATTTTGCCATGTTGAAAGCAAACTGCATAACAAGTTTCTTCAATGCACATCTTCCTCTCAGACATAATTGGTGCTGCCAGGAGCAGACATTTCTCATTGTCAAGAAAAACCCTACACCATTTTAAATGCCATTTTCTGAAGGTCTTTGAGAGGTTTGAAGACTGTTTATCTATCTCAAATATATTTCTGTATATCTAGAAAACCTAATTTACCTAACTACAAATTCCATTATATGTAACTATGTATAATCTGTATTTAATTATGCATTACATTTTAAAAGATCAGGATAAGCACAATACTTGATCAAGAGGAGAAATATACACATCACAAAATTGACCTGGAATTTGTATCAATAAATGAAAAACAATACCCATACCATAATTCCCCTTTTTACCATTAAAAAAAGATTGGCTGTGATCATTGACCAATTATAAACAATCCCATTTAAATGAAAACAAAGGTTTATAAACAAGATGGGAATTAGGACGTCGCTCATTCCAAACTGTTTCGTGATGGAAGGGGGTGCTGTTCATACCATGGGGATCATGACAAAACTCAGAAACCTCTGTAAGTCCTTAGTTTCAGGGTCTGTAAGATTGTATCATCTTAGCTGTTTCAATTGTTGGAACATCTGGTCCACTGCTTCTGGGGGTCTAGGTTCGTCAAACCACAGAAGCATGGAAGGAATCCTCAGCTTTTCATTTTCTGTAGAAACATAAATAAAAACTCCTTTCCCAAGTAACATATTCTTATACGTAAATTTTGAAGTCAAGGCATTTTCAAAAGATAGAAGTTGAATTAATTCAGCTGCATTTATAATCAAGTGTACTTTAGCAGCTGTTCCTTCCTTAGCAATGAAAAAACTGAAAAACACCATAACGTACAGTATCCAGTCTCTCCGTGTATTTTCCATCATTACATGGCTTATTTATTTATTTATCTATTATTACTCTATTTCTTTTACTTTTATTTACTTTTCTTTGAGACAGGGTTTCTCTTTGGAAATCTGCCTGCCTCTACCTCTGCAGCAAATCTTACCGGCGTGTGCCACCACAGCCAGGCCGTTTTATTTTTTTTTAATCTTACGTATATTTTTAAACACACTGTAAACCTTTAGAGGTTTTTCTTCATCCAAGTCTGACTTTACTGTCTTTCTTTATGTTTTTCTGGCCAGGTGTCTTATCTGTTAAAACCACAGCTGTTTAAACTGCAGTTTTTCCAAGATGGGGGGCATAAGCATGACTCTTGCTGCTGGCTTGGAGATGTAGTCACTGCCATTTCCAGCTGTACGTGCAACTTTTAAATCATTAGCAAAGCCTCTTAAAAGAACCT